GTGTGGGTGTTCCTGGTCCCCCCCCCCCCCCGGTTTGGTTATTGTTTTCTTCCATCACTGTAACACGGGAGGGGAAAAGTCTTCGTGCCAGGGTTATTGCCTTTTGGTGTCATAGTGTGCCCAAGCATTTCTCTTCTTCATGACTCGACTGCGAAGAATTACATCTCTTACATTTCAGGCATGGAGTTGACGTTCAATTACAACTTGGACTGTCTGGGCAACGGAAGAACAGAATGCCACTGCGGGGCAGACAACTGCAGTGGCTTTCTCGGAGTTCGGCCGAAGGTCAGTTGTGGGGGCATGGCCACCAGGGGGCGCCATGGCGGCAGGTCACGTGTGCGCGTCTCCGGGGAGGTCAGCACAGGGCCTTGCTTTGCTTGCAGGTCTTCAGTAGTGTTCCCGCTCGCCAGGTTTCCAGGGAAACCCAATTCCTGATTAAGTATGAAATTAGCTGTAAAGCTCTCCTAAAACTTACAAGTCTAGGCTGGGGATTTAGCTCAGTGGTGCTGCCACCTCCCTCACAAGTGCGAGGTCCTAAGTTCAGTCTCCGGTACAACGAAAAACTGTAACAAATCAACTAAAACTACCCTTACAGTGACGAATGTTGTGATGCGTGGGTTTAACTCCATGAAAACAGTCACGGGTTATCTGAGCAGTAGTGGGTTAGGGTTGTTTGGATTTACCACCACCCTTGCAAGACTCAAAACAGCATCCTCTTTAAGATGAGGACATCCTCTTTTCAGTGAGGACCAGGGGTTCAGCTCAGCGGTGCCGCCACCTGCCTCACAAGCGCAGGGTCCCAAATTCAATCCCCGGTACCAAAAAAAAAACGTAAATAAATAAAACTCAGTGAAAGAGCCTAATGTTTAGTGTAGTATTGCTGTAGGGTAAGACATCTTAATGTATTTTGGGAATTGCCTAGCAGACAAATTTAAATTACTGTGAGGGTTTTCTTTTCTGTGTAAAACCCAATACACTGTGATTTTGAAACCGTGTCCTTTCTTCCTGCCAGTCGGCATGTGCATCCACAGCTGAAGAGAAGGCAAAAAATGCCAAGTTAAAGCAGAAGAGACGAAAAATCAAAACAGAACCAAAGCAGATGCATGAAGATTATTGTTTTCAGTGTGGAGATGGTGGAGAGCTAGTCATGTGTGACAAAAAAGACTGCCCCAAAGCATACCACCTCCTATGCCTTAACCTGACTCAGCCGCCGTATGGTAAGCTGCAACTTCAAGGGCCCTTCTGCACTTGTCTTTGCTGTGTGTGACTCAGAGTACATCCTACTCCCCTTAGGAGAGTTCGGAAGTGAGGAGTGTTGAGTCGAACAAACAGCAATAGCAAGCAAAATTATGTTAGTGCAGCCGGGTGTGGTGGCGCACACCTGCAGCACTCAAGAGGCAGGAGGGTCACTGTGAGTTTGAGGCCAGCCTGGTCTACATAGTAAGGTCAAGGCCAACCTGAACTGCATGGTGACACTCTATCTCAAAGAAACAGCAAAAAGAAAAGAAAATTACGCTAGTGAAGAGCCTGTCTCTGCAAACTGAGATACCTTGTGTGGTAGCAAGGGTTGGTTTCATATTGAGTGTTACACATGAGTTGGCACCCGTGGCATCAGGGATGAGCCGGTAGCTCACCTCTGTGTGAGACAGCGCACCCTAGGTGTGTGTTTTCCTGGAACTTGCAGTCGGAGGAGAGATTGGGAGCCTGGGGTTTCCCTCGGCGACAGCGGCACTGACACGTTCCCCTCCTCTCCCACCCTCTCCCGCGTTAGGAAAGTGGGAGTGCCCGTGGCACCAGTGCAACGCGTGCAGCGGTGCGGCCGTCTCCTTCTGCGAGTTCTGTCCACGTTCATTTTGCAAGGATCACGGAAAGGGGGCTCTGGTCGCCTCCGCACTGGAGGGCCGGCTCTGCTGCTCTGAGCACAACCCGTCATCGCCGGTGTCACCAGAGTATTGGAGCAAGGTCAGGTGTAAATGGGAATCCCAGGATCGCAAAGAAGAGGCAAAGGAATAAATGGATGGTGATGCCCTTCCTGTTAGAGATGAAAACGCAAGTAGATGATGTGTTTTAAGAAGAGACTGCTGAGTGCACAGCCTCTGCCCATCAGAACTGCCTTATCAAAGCAAAAACGGGAAACAAGTTTACGCAGGCAGAAGCAATTGGTTGTGTCTTGTTTTTCTGTTTTGTTTTGCTGGTTTGGGAATTTCTTTCGTGGAAGATTAAATTCCCTTGTTTGTTTTTTGGGGTTTTTTTTTCCTTGCCTTTCCTTGTGCTTCAGTGCTTTTGCAGCTGAGAAAAATGTCTTCACTTTTAAAATCAGAACAAAAAGAAAGAGTTTTGTTAATGAGATCAATTTAAAGCTCTAAGATGTTCCTAGGTTGTATGGAGTACCATCATTCCTTTATTTACTTTCATTTTTAGGAGTTTTGAGAAGTGTAGTTCAGATCGTCTAATCTCATGTACATGTGTGTTTGGGGGGAATTGGAGGAGCCCTCTAGAGAAGCGTGTGATCACCTTCATGTACCTCTTACTGAACAGTAGGTAGGCTGCCTTCTCTTTCCCTCAGATATTTTATAATCTCGGCGAAGAGCTCTCCCCGGGAATTATATTGGTGTTACCTGTGTGGTCTTAAACCAGGGGGCTTTGTGATCAGTACCTTTACCTACAAAGGATATGATGTGTTTTCTTTAAGTTTTTTTTTGTTTGGGGAGAAAAGAAGGGATGGGTGTGCTCCCTGTCAGTGACGGTGGGCTTCTCTGGGGATGCCCTCTGCGGGAGAGCAGTCACAGCTGTCCTGATGCTGACAAAGGCCCAGACCGAAAGCGGGATTCTCTAAGCACCTTTTTCTGTTTAATTTAGTGTAGATCCTGATCTAAGAATTATGAATTATTTTGTTTTCCTCTCTTAATCAGACATTTTCTTGGTCAGTTGACCAATCATGTTCCCTAGCAGAACTGCACAAGAGAATTGGAATAGATTTTAAATTGAGTTAATTGGTGGGGTGAACCCAGTAGCGGCATCTCCAGTTTATATGTAAACAACTTCTGTTTAAAAACTGTCCTCGTGACTAAGAGCAAGAACTGCTTTTAGAAGACTCACAAGAGTGGTCTGGGATTTAGCTCAATGGTACCGCGCCTGCCTCGCAAGCATGAGGTCCTGAGTTTGATCCCTGGTACCACAAAAAAAAAAAAAAGATTACAAGAGCCACACAAATGTGCTTCACAGTGGAAAGCACTTAGAGAAGCTCCCAAGCAGGTCCGTGTCAGCAGAAATGGTTGCCGGATGCTTGAGTCTTCCACCTGCAGGGATCCCACTAAACTCACTCAGAACTAATGCTTAGGAATGAGTATGTACATTCCAGTATTCCTCACATGAAAGCGTGTGTAGTGTTAGACGTAACACTATTCAGTAGAAGCCTAGGGTTAGCTGAAATGAGCTTTACCTTCCTCTGTGAATTCTGACTGCTTGCCATTGCTGGTTCTCTTAGTACTCAGTACCTTACGAAGGCAGGGAAACTGGATGTCTGCTGCACTCCCTCAGTAATGTGAGGTGTGTCCTGTTCTTACCAAGGTGGAGCTGTTCTCTGGAAAGGAAAAAAAAAGCTGTGTTGTGCCTCTTTCTCTTTTTAAATTAGAAATGTGCAATTATACTGGATTTTCTCTTGTAAAAAAACAGTAGCAACAACACTACAGTTCCTTTTTACTTAAGCTTCTAAACTGCCATTTGCCTAATTGCATCAATTAATTCTGAGGTGACTTATCGGTCACCCAGTAATTCTGTTAATCACACATGATCTAAAAAGAGCAAAATGGAAAATGCTGCACGTTACCAAATCCAACTGCTCTTAGTAACATGAAATATGGCTCACAGCAACACTAGACTTTGTTCTTGAGCAATTACATAGTTTGATGTCCTTTTAAAAAGTAATTTAAGAAAATCTAAGTTTTCTCATACTTAAATCTTATTTTATATAGATATCTGATAAATGTATGGTTTTTTAAACTTAGTAACACAAAGATTTCTTTTAATATTTCAAGTGCAACTTGTTGAAACTGTGTCCAACATGAAATTGTATCTCTTTTGTTTTGGACTTTAGTGCTATTTAATATCTGATAATTTTTATATGGTAAGCCAGGGTGTATTCTATATACTGCAGATACCTTAGGTTTAAGTATTTTTCTGCAGCTTCTCGTTGTGTCTCATTTGTTTTTATATCTACAACAAGAGCTCTGCAGAGACTTTTTTAATCTTTTTTTAAAATGACTAATAGAATTGTTCTGTCATTTCAGAAATCAAGGTACAAAACAAAAATAGCTAACCACAGCTCTAAAATCTTAATGGCCTAAAAAGTGGTTTTAGTCATGCTAGTGCCGAGCACGCTGCACAGCTCCATGGTGTTGATGTTACCTGGTTATATATGCTGAAGTTGAAGGGTTCTGAAAGCAGAAATCTGCGCTTTGTGTGTGCATAAGTGCGCATGTGCTGTGCTTGCTCTGACACTGATGGAGCACTCCAGAAGACACACTTCTTACAGTCTGATGTGAGAATTTCTTAATTTTTTAATGCCAGTATGTGGCCAGCGCTTAAGTGGTTGGTTTTATTCTTGTCCAAAATGAAATAATTTAAAGCAGCATAGGATAATGGTGGGTGTGGGTTTTTTTCCCTCCTTAACCAGATGTTAATTCTTTGGAGAAGGAAGTGAACATAAGATAAAAATTCTGTGATTATCATGATCTGTCAAAAGGTATTCAGCATAGCGCTTCAGAAGGGCACTGAGAGCTAAAGGGAAGTCCTGGGTGCCTTCCCGCTGCTGCTGCTGCTGCTGCTGCTGCTGCAGGCGAGGTGGGTGGCCCTGCACTCCTGGCCCGCTGGAGAGCAGGGGGACGTGGGCTCCTTTTCATTTTGCTTTTCACAGGTTCCCACACTGTTGTAATTCTTGCAGATGCCCAGGCTGAGCTTTAGAATAGTCTGAGTGTAGATGTCACGGAAGCTTGGAGATTTCTGTGTGTTCTAGTCAGGGACAAAGCTGAAAACTGGAAAGGTGGGGGTAGCTGAGGCCCGGTGTTTTCTGCCCACTTCCACGCAGTGCTTGGAAACCTGACTGTGAGTGGTGTGGAAGCGAGATCTGAGGTGTCCGCCCTGGTGACGTGATTCCGATGGCACAGGCTGGTGGGCCTGACATAGTCTGTTTTTTGAGTAGTTAGTGCGATGTGTTCCATTCAGGTCAAACCCAGACCTGCACTTTGGAATCGGATGTGCCATTTAGTCAGTGTAATCTCTGGATTGCTCAGGACCTGTTGTGGGCCTTTTGCTTCATTTTTTAATACAAAGCTCTTTTAACTTTTACCCTCAAGTCAGGGTGCTGCCAGCCCCATGCCATATCCTAACAATAAGAAAACAAGATGTCTTGGGGTCCTCATAGCTCAGAAAGCTTGTGTGTGTTTTACCTGTACTTGAGGGAGACCGCAGTTCACGGTAGCCTCCAGTGACTTCAGAAGGCTAATGCACCTAGCCACCCCTGCTTATCCAAGTTGCTGCGGACAGGAAGTGATCAAGTTTCCTGTTCAGCCTAAGGCCACTTAGACTTGCCTCTGGTTATTTGCAAACAGAAAGTAGGGCTTGGTTCCATTTTCAGATGGACTAGGGAATAGATATAATCAGACAGCTTTGCAGTGAAATAATGAATATTGAAAAGTTGGAATTTGTATATACTGAAATCTCACCAACTTTTACTTGGGGTGGGGTACTGGGTCGAGGGAGGGGAATGATGTTTACCACAGGTACGATGCAGTCACTTTAACTAACATTGAGACCTCTGCCTCATGGAATTCAGGTTTTTTTTAAGTACTTGAAACTCTTCAGATTCTCGTTATT